CGAAAGCTTAGTTAATAATGTTGGATGTACAGTAGAAATCATAGACGTTTAGTAGAAATTGAACAGGTTCGTTAGAAAATTATGGTGTTTTTTATAGTTAACACCCACACATACATAAACTCATTATTTTTTTAGAATATGCATGTTAGTCTTCATTATATAGAATAATTTATTTGTTAAGACCCACCACTGACCCGGAAATGACCGGCATTCAGGCAAGACTTCTATCATTACGGGTACTAAGACCAAGTAATGATATGCATTGATTAGATTAACAGAACAACTTTCGAGATTCTAGAATTACAGCATACAAATTAGTCTGCTATTATTCTCTAATCTCACCCCATCCCCAAAAGTCTAGCGTAACTACCGACCATTTATCCGCGCATCACTTGAAAATTGACCTACACTACTCTGACCTACTGGTGCTAACCTAATCTGACTAACATGATCAGACTGTTCAAGAAACTTACGAACAATATGACATGTTCCTAACAAAACAGCTTTTTGAATTTTGATAATTATTGAATCATTCAAATGCAAAGACTTTAAATTCTCAACTAAGCTATTTGGAACTACACCTACATTAGAGATAACTAGAGGTACAATTGAAATTTTTTTAAGATTCAACATGGATTTCATTTCTATCGATAACTGTAGATATTTTGAAATCTTGGTGTGGTATGTTTGAATAATGTTGTTTGTGTTGGGAACAGCAATGTCAATGAGAATGGCTTCGTTCGTGTGTTTCTTGATAAGTATGATGTCTGGTCTGTTAGCTGTAATGTTTAAGTCTGTAAGTATTGTGCGATCCCAGTATAATTTGTATTTGTTATTTTCAAGGAACGGAGATGGAATGTAAGTGTAATACGGTGTCGTATCTTCGATTAAGTTCATAAGTGTTGCTAATTCTTTGTGGATGATTTTGGCGACGTTGTCGTGTCTAGCTTTGTAGTCAGTTTGTGCTAGGATGCTGCAAGAAGAGATTATGTGCTGGATCGTTTCAGGTTTTGCTTTGCAGAGGCGACAGCAGTCGTTTTTTATGTTCGGATCTTTGATGATGTATTTTTTGTAATTCTTGGTATTGATTACTTGGTCTTGAATAGCAAACACAAATCCTTCTGTTTCGGCATACAAACCTGATTTTTTTAACCAAATCAATGACATCTTCTTATTGATATGAGTTTCTTCTAAGTCTTTGTAGAATTTTCCATGTAGTTGTTTTTGTTTTAGCCCACTTATTATTTTATCTATTGTGTGGGGGGTGTGGATTTCTTCGGTGTTCGACAGATTTAAGGGTGTGTGGTTCAAATCTGCTCTTGTGATGGTGCGAAACATTTCATTTCTTTCCGCTCGTTTCAAGAAATACTTCTTCAAATCTGAGATTTGTCTCTGACATAAGTTTTCTAGGTTCTGGAAACCCCTTCCTCCATTCTGTCTTGGTAATGAGAATCTTTCAATCGACGATTTTGGATGATGCCTTCTATACTGTGTGAAGATTTTCCTTGTTGCGATGTTTAAATTTTCAAGATCAGTTTTGGACCATTTAATGACTCCAAAAGAATATGTTAGTAGTGGAACGCAGAATGTATTTACTGCTTTCATTAAATTTTTTCATTTAACTGTGTCTTCAATATTAATTTCAATCTCGCTAGGTATTGATCTTTCAACTGTGTTTTCGTTTTGGTATGATTGATGTGTGATGATTGACAGAAACCCAGATATTTGTATGTATCGTTTCGTTCTTGTGCTTCGATTATTTCGTTATTCTGGGTTATATGTGGTACTTGGTGTTGGACGCCTTTTCTGATTGCTTGGGTCTTACATTTCTCAATACCAAAAGACATACCAATATCACCGGAAAATTGTTCAGTCAGATTTAATAGGTTTGTTAACTGATTTTGTGTACTTGCATATATTTTTATGTCATCCATATACAGCAAGTGACTTATTCTGTTTTCTCTTTGTTTGTTAATTCTTATATTGAACCCATAATTGCAACTGTTCAGGATATCGGAGAGGGGATTTATTGCTAAGCAGAACCATAACGGACTAAGAGAATCGCCTTGAAAAATTCCTCTTCGGATCATTATTGGATCTGACTGAATTGTTTGTTCATTTAAGGTTATTTGAAGGGTGGTCTTCCAAAATTCCATGGAACATTTTAGAAAAGTGCAGATTTTAGTATCAATTTTGTATAATTCCAGAATTTTGCATAGCCAGGAATGAGGGACAGAATCGTAAGCTTTCTTATAATCAATAAAAGCAGTATATATGTTTCGGTTTTCTTTTCTAGCTTGTTCACAGATGATGGAATCTATGATTAATTGCTCTTTGCAACCAAAGGATCCTTTAATACATCCTTTCTGTTCTTCATTAATGATGTTAGAGTTAAAACAGTGTTGATAGATTTTTTGTGTAATGCATGAGGTTAATATTTTATAGATTGTTGGTAAACATGTGATAGGTCTGTATTTTGATGGATTTTTTGTGTCGTTATCTTTAGGTTTTAAGTATGTTACACCATGACATAAGAATGTTGGAAAGGAGGATGGGTCAAGAAGGAACTGATTTAAGTGATTTAGTAAATGAATATGTACACAATTAAATTTTTTTATCCAAAAATTATGGATTTTGTCTGGTCCTGGTGATTTCCAGTTGTGTGTCTTATTGATGGTATTTATTAATTCGGCAAGTGTTATCTGATGATCATTCATTGGTGTAACTGTGGATAGTTTATGGGATATATGAGGAATCCATTGTTATTATTTAAACAATGAAGGCTGTTTATTATTATTATTTTACTGTTTATTGTTATTTTTTTTAGTGTGTATAGGCCTTTGTTTTATTTTTCCAATAAAAATATTTGTTAAAAATATTGTTTCCTACCTATTGTTACAAGTACCCGTATGTACTTATAGATTACTATTTTTTACTAAACAGGAGTATTCATTAAAACGTGGCAACCAGACACTCTAGCATTTCTACTGAACATCTATTATTTTTACTAAACACAGCACAATTAAATACTTGCACATTGTACTGGTCACGTTTTATTTTAATACTTACAATTTCTACTGAACAAACTTATTAATGTACATAACAAACTATTTAAGTTACCTAAAAAAAATGCATTTTATACTTATCATTTAATTACAAGCCTTTAAAAAATAAATACAGGTTTTCCAGTGTATTAAATTGAGCTTCCCCTTTCAAGCTAAACATAATGGCGTCTACAAAATTTCAATACCTTTATGCGTTCTCAAGATATAAAGCCGCGAAATTTAATTTGAAACACCTGTACACATATACAGAGTGATTCACATAATTATATTAACGACGCCCAAAATACATTCATAACCAATCACTAGATCCTACAAATTTACAGAGACCGAATACGAATGCACGTTGCTCTTCGTCAAGCCTGTTAGATCATTTGGACTCTCTTGTCTTTCAAAATAATTGTCAAAAGAAAAAAATTAAAACCGTCACAAAATGCATTCATAAAAAACACAACTAATGCAGCAAAATGGCTGCCTAAACTTTATTGAGCTCGATTCCAGAATTAAAATTTCTCCTATCTTCAAGTGTTTGCTTGGTCTAAATGATTTTTTACATTTAAGAAATAGTAGGGTGGTGCTCTGTCTTGTCGAAACCACATCTGCCATGAAGTGTCAGGGGAGCTATACCATTTAACAAACCAATCAATTCGTTTGATAAAAAAATTAAATATCGGTCTCCAGGTAGGTTCCTTTAAAAAAATATGGCCCGATCACATGCTTTCCAGTAATATTTACAGAATAAACATTTTGAAAATGCATTCGTCGTATCCAACGTGGGTTCATTTGTCCATAACAATGGCAATTGTGATGATTCGAACCATTGTTATTACATAGTGTTATTACTAAATTTTGCTTCGTCATATAATTCAGGAAATTATTATATCTGTATTTGTTTTCTGCTGCATGAAATAACAAAATTCTATTCCCCGAAGAAAATTATTTTCTTTGAGATCTTGCACCAACATAACGTGTGATAACAGTGGAATCGACTTGTTTTAAAGTTCTACAGGCTTCATCTGTTGCTGTTTTTAGTCTTCTTAATGTTCTCTTAAGTCCTCGTAAAATTTTATCCGTAAAATGTCTTCTAGCGGGATACCGCTGAGCATACAAATTAGCTGCTACGCCATTTTTCGGGCATTTTGGATAAATTTAAATCATTCCACTTTTTCGTCAGTGGTAGTACATAATTATTCTTCCATTTTCCCCACAAACTTGATCATTAATCCTAAACAAAATGAAATTGGAAAAGGGTGGTTTTATGATAAGAGTATGTGTGGTTGCATCAAAAGTTCTTTAGGGTTATACTGTTATGTGAATCACCCGGTTGTATTTTCTTATTAAATCAGTATATCGTTTTTAAATTTCTTACTTCAGTTATCATACTGTAAACAAGGACACGTCGGGAAATAGAAAAAAATCCTTTACCAGTTGATGGATTTGCCAATACATTTCTTGTTTAGGGTAAGTTTGCGCACTTATTAATTAACAAAAATTCGATGAGTAAAATAAAATGAAGAAGACACAAGGAAGGTTCAAAAAAATTTTGTGGGCCACTGTGGACCTCAATAAATCGAGTAACAGTCATGTCTTCAGTATTTAATTTTTAATGTTTGTAACGAACGGCACTGTTTTGGCACCGTGCATCACTATCTCTTTTTTCAAGGACCGCCTAGTGCTCAATCCATGTGCGGAAGCGGCACTTTCAGATCTTAATATATAATAACTACTGTTTGTGATTACGAATGTTTAATACAGTAGGTACTAAAAAATAGAGTCCTTATTTAAAGAATGTGTCGAGGACGACATATCTTAATATGGTTAGTCGTACATTTTGAACTTTGTTCCTAAAATACATTGTTACTAAAATGTAGTCCATGTAAAAAATTGCATTTTTTTTACATGTTAAGTATGTATCTAACCTACACATTTTTTTTCCAGTGGCAGGGGAGCAGTAACTGGTATGTTGAAGACAGGCAAGAAAGGATTGTATGTGTTCGACAGGAACGGCCAGCATTACCAGGTATCACCACCATGCGTGTTGGACTTCTACATACACGAATCTCGCCAACGCACAGGTCTGGGAAAACGATTATTTGAACATATGCTGGAGGTAAGATATGCCGGTGGTAGGTGTTTGAATTTGTATTGGCGTATTATTGACCCCGACCGACCAAACGAGAGGTCGAATCTTGATACAACCAAATCGACCAAAAAATCTAACAACGCTTCTAACGACTGCTAATATGCTAATATGTTCGTGACATTGATCAAAAAGTGTGAAGGCGTCATCTATCTAAAGGAATTCTGTTTGTAAAATACCAGTAGGTTGAGTCTCTTGTAACTCAGTAAGTTTCCTAATACAGAATTTTTTTATTTATGGTAGTCAAGTAGCGGTTAATTAGAACAAAAGGATTTGTGGAGGCGCTAGTCTATGCTGAGTACATTGAAAACGGTTAAACGTAATTACCGATGTATCCTGTTGGTAATTATAATGTAAAACTTGTTATAATGCGATGGTGCTGAGAATATTTTTTTATACTTTAACCTGAACTGAACCGGATTTTGTTATTTTAAGGATTGAGTAATTATACTCAGTAGATTTATCTAGAAAACTCTTATTAATCTGAAATAAACCCATCCATTTTAATTTTGGAGTGATTGCCCATATTTTAATTAAATAGCCAAAAAAGCATGTAAGTAGGTTACCAAGAATCGATACCCCATCTTAATATTCTTAATGACCTAGCAGTCAATTTATACAAGCAACCCTTTGTTCTATATCTGTTGGCATCATATAAACAGTCAATATGGGTGAAATTTTGATAGAAAATATTTTCTTTATCCGCCTCCTCATGTGGATATTTATAAAACCGATCATTAATAACGTCGTCTGAACAAACTTCTAAATAAGTACAAAATAAATAAATAGCTACATTAATCACAACACTGGAAAGTCGATGCCAAACTCGTCAGTGATATTCTAATCTCATGCAAACAATCTAATAAAGATCGCGAATCGAATGTTCCTATCATCATGCAACGATGACCTCATGGATAATCAGTGCCAGTCTTTTTTCCATATATCGAACATGAAACATGAATTTAAGACATGACCTGTTCTTCCATGTCAAGGGTACTTTTGTTTTCGATGAGATTGAGTATCGGATACGGGTGAGTTGCGTGATACAAGTAAATATTACATCATATAAATTCATTTGGAATTTTACACTGTATATGCAGATTACGTGTCTTCTACCCTCTGACCCAGAAACGTCTGTTCTTCTCTTTAACTGGTACAAGTAGTCGACAAGCATTATTTCACACTAATTGCTAGCCAAAGTTTAACGAACAAAATAAATAGCAGTTCATTTTGAGGAACAGGTGTGGTCCCATTTCAATGAGTAACTTCATCGGTCGAACGTGGGCTGTAATCTGTGGTATCACAAAACGTAACAACGGAGGAGGAAGTGCTAATGAATTTACAATCACGCCCTCACGTTCTGATAAGCTACGTGGCCTATCTTTCATCGAATTTGCAATTTAAACTATCACCCTATTTGCTTCATTAATTTTCCACCCTTCTCGGTTCACAGGAGGAAAAAATTGAACCCGTAAAAATGGCTATCGACAGACCGAGCGACAAATTTCTGGGTTTCCTTAACAAGCATTATTCGTTAAACAGTCCAGTCAAGCAAATGAACAACTACGTGGTCTTCGACGATTTCTTCCCAAGTACTCCGGAGAAAAATGGTGCGGTGGAGGTTCAGGCCCACAGGTTGGTCTTCAGATGCATCTACTGACAAATAACCTATATCAATTTACTAAAAATAAAGTCATTAAAATAACAACGTTCACACTCTATTCTGTTGCTGTACTAACACGTAATTTTAGCGGTGGCACTCCGGGGAAAAAACAGTCAGCTAATGGCTTACAAACAACCAGTTATGCATCACCAATGGGTCGCTACGGGGCTCCGAGGCCCCCTTGCAGTATGGGCCAGGTATAACTTTATAACCGAATTTAAACAAATTTAATCCTCATCGCCGATAACTATCATTGCAGATAATACATAACCAAACGTCTACTATACCAAAAAATACTGAACCAACGGGGTAAGTTTAAAGTTAGATGTACAATGTTTTACTGCATGCAAAGTATTTAGTGTTGTGAATGCTAGATCGGCGGGTGACATGAATTATCAGGGTATTGCTAACGACAGGTAAGTCGGATTGCACGTAGGATTAGTCCTTTCAGTCCCGTTGTATCCTCCAGAAATCCAAACATGACCCAAAGTACCCCCAATATGTATTACCAGCCGCCTGCGCCATATGTGAAATTTGACGGATTGGGCCCAAATTCTACGATAAATTATGAAAGTGACAAAAATACATATTATGAACAGCAGCAGCAGCAAAATTATGGAAATGCTAATACTGTCGATGATTCTAATCAAATGGCCGCTACTAATACGTATCCTCAAGCTACTACTCAGCAACAAAATGTCACTCCATTCCAACAGCAGGAGGTTATGCAGAATCAGTATAATATGCAACCACAGCAGCAGTTGCAGTCGCAACAGCATCAGACTTCTCAGTTTGTTGCTGCTACACCCAGCAATGTACAAAATCCAGGTTTAGCGACCAATCAGATTGTGGCACAACAGACAGAAGTAACATACATTCCAAATTTAAATCAACAAGAAACCTACAATGCCCAGAATAACACACAAAATCTGCAACAGTCCGCAAACCAAGTTCCGCAAAATGTTCAACAGTATCCCCCTCAGTATCTATACTCTACTCCACAACAAACCATGCAACAACCGATACTTCAACAGCAGATTCCACATTTGCAAAATCAGGTCCCAATTCAAAATCAAAATGTGACGCTAAATGAATCTTTTCCCTCATTGGTAGCTCCAGCTAACGCCCAGCAAATGTCATACGTGCCGGAAGTATTACAAAGTAACCCCCAGTACACACCTACAGACCTAAATCAATACCAGTATAACGTTCAAGTTCAACAACAAAATTTGCAAAACAATGCACAGTATACTTATGGACCTACAGGTATCACAGCCGTCCCACCCAATCCTCAAACTGTTCCAACTACTTACACCCTGCCACAGAATTCAGCTGGTTATACAATGCCGACAGCACCATACCACGCACCCACCAGCAGCACACAAGTTCCTCAATACGCAGCCAGTGCAACTATGCAGTATCCACTTGTTAGTAACGCTGGAGACGCTCAATATAATAATCAACTAGTTCAGAATCAACCAAACCAACTACTGCAACCAAATGTAGTAACAAATCCGGCACTTGAATCAAACATTGCGATGACAACTCAAGTGCCTCAAACTGTTAGTATGACCAATCAAATACCTTCAGGAAACCTCGTGACCAGTCAAATACAACCCCAGCCAACTATCTTTAGAACAAATCAAAGTTTGGCGCAATCTACTGTACCTATTAATATGGACACAGTTTCACAACATCAAATCCAAAATATGGCACAGGTGTCTCAACCAGTAATGCCAAATGAGGTAACAACTGTTGCACCGAATCTGTCATACAGTGTACCACATATTCCAAACGTGCCTCAGCCAACAGTTAATATGACACAGCCAAACGTAATGTTAACAAGCCCGATACAGGGCCAGCAAACCATGACGTCACAACCAAATATAACCAATCAAACTCAATATCCACCTCAAAATATGATGCAGTATGGATCGGAGCAAAGATCACCTCAGCCAGCACTAAGAGCTGACGTAAACCCTACTACAGCAAATAATCCAAAAGAAAGCTTGCCTCAACTAAGTACTAGAAGATCGCGACTCCAAAATGAAGCGTTTCAATATAATTACAATCCAGCGATGACTAACACACAGAATGTGGCTGTACCGCCACAAACGCCACAAGCCAGAGGAGAGTCTGCTCGTGTCAGAAATCCTCAATTTTCTATTGTTAACAAAACAGACGTGCAAAATGAACCACAATCTGTCTATCATGCACAGGGGTAAGACTTGAAACTAACACAACACAAAAGTCACTAAGAATTTTCCTATAGCGATGTGGAAAACGTTGACGATGGTTTGAAATTTGGATACCCGTCCCAAGTTCGTGATCCGTAAGAAACACAAAACCTTTATTAGTAACATTTACTATAATCATATTAAAACAGATTAAAGCAAGTAATGACAACCAACATGATCAGTGTCAACGATCGTTAGTATTAACATGATCCTAAAATTTTCCTAACCCACTAAATAACCAAATTTATATGTTGTTCATGCCAGTTACGTGTTTACTGAGGTAAGCTACCCATGTTTCATCACAGACCCATCCTTCCACAAGTTCGTTTCTCATTTACAGTTTTGTAACACAATTAATTTTGAAGATGCTTTTTCTTTGTCTTTTTTTTTAATTAATAATTATGTTGCATTTTTGTTTTTCGTTTATTGATTTTGATTTTTCTCCCTCCCCACAGGGCACAAATAGCCTCGCAGTAAAATAAAATTCTAGAAAATAATTGCAATATTCCAGTGATACCCAGGTAATGGAAGAAAAAGTCAGCTCTTCGCCAAAATTGGAACGTCCTCGATCTCTTTCTATACAGCTAAGTGAAGAACAGACGGAAGATAAAAAAAATGATGTAGAAAGTGAGGTACTCCCCAAAGAAACTGATATCGAGGAAGAGACGATAGAAAAATTGACGATTTCAGAGAATGGCGCAGACGTAGAACACAAAGATGAAAATATACCAACTCCTGAAAATAAATCACCTGGAAAACGAACACCAAGCCATTTAACTGAACAAGGATTTTTTGATCTGAAGTTTTACCACAACAAATTGTGGTAAAGTAGTTATAAAGGACATTGTGAACATTTTGGCAGCTTCAAATTAAGACAGTTGTATGACGTGTACCTTGCTTTTTATATCATGTATCTGTACTTATTTATTTGTATATTATTTATTTATTAAAAATTTATAGCACATATTATAGATGTATTGTTGAGCATGTTGTTCAGTTTTAGACTAACTAGTTGCAGTTTAGTTACGATTTTTAATACATTGCTTAGTCGTGCAATATAACTACTTTTATCCAGAATAAAAGGTTTCCAGAACAACATTCCATGTTAGACCAATTTTTAATTATTAACTTTTGTATCAAAGAAATTAATTTAGTTTTTTGCACTTCGAAAGCAATTAAGCAGCTAATAGATTTAAGATATAGCAGTAATTTGGCACAAGAGAACTAAAGCACATTGGAAGGTACTAAGGCAGCTGATGGTACCTGGTGCGTCAACTACTTAACTGGTTAAGAAGTAATACGTTACTTCAATGTTAAATTAAGTTTGTTTTATTTTTTATAAGTACTTATCACCAAAGATTTTTCAAATTTGTGTTATTTTTATTTGCAGCCTCGTCTATCAAAATATGTTTATTGAAAACTTTTTAATCCGCTGAAATTGGAGCTTTAATAATTTCAACAGTATTCTATGCTATAAAATATTGAAAAAGTCTGCTATTTTATGTAACTCAATGTGAAAATAACTCAATAAACAATGTTATCTCTACCTTACTTTTATTTCTTAGTTACAAATATCACACATGGTAATCACCGCCATCAATTTTATCATCTGATAAAAACGACATTAAGTAAACTGCGGCACTTTCATCAAGCCAAATAAAACTGACAGTCCACGCTACTATCAGCCCAAACATGACTCCACCCAAAACATCGAGAATATAATGCCGATTCATCAGAATTCTACTTAAACAAACGGAAGTTGTCCAAGCTAACAGCGGCGGTATGCAATATATAGGTAAAGGGTAAAGATTAATAAAAAAATATGTTACAAAAACTGCCCGACTAGCATGCCCTGAAGGAAAACTAAATACATCTGGTCCGATTTGTCCTAAAGCATCATCACTGTTGGCTACTGGCCTTCGGCGTCGAAAGTATGCCTTTGCAATGGCTATTAAAATAATATCCAGCAGTAATCCTGCAGCAAAACACAGTCAAATGTAAAAAACACACTTGTCAAAAACTTCTTTTCTTACCGATTAATATGTTGACTTGCAACTGAATGAGTGATGTGTTGTTAAATAGCCACGTAAATGCAATCCAAAATGCAAACCACGGAATTCCATGACAGGTAATCTACAAATAAGATTGAGAATCACACTGTACCTTTGTATCTCTGTTCACTTACTTCTAGGGCTTTGTAATGAATTCGAAGTGACCTCAGAGGCAAAAACTGATTAGCCCATAGTACAAATCGTTTCGATATTTCGATGTCGGCTTTTAATATATTTTTAATTGCGGGGGGTACTTCTCGTTTCTCCGCCTGATAAAAAAATTAATGTAAAATATATTTTTCACTTTGGTCTGCCTACCTGAGACATTTTTCTTTTATCGCTATATTAGTCAATCCCTAGATATGGACACACCGACCTATTTATAAACACCTAATAATAAACATAACTCTAATCGGACACATAGCTGACAATCAGCTGACTGTCGACTGTCAGCTGTCAAAAATTCACGTGACCGGTAACACGAAAGTCACTAAAAGTACAGAGGCGGACCCTATCCAAGAAAACGATGAACTCTATTATACTTGGTTCATTTTATCTGTATCCTTAATAAAATTTTACGACAGCAACAAGGTGGTTGCAACCGTCATTAGAGAAGAATGGTTGTAAAAAAAGGTAACCTCATTTGACATACACCTTGTAAAACTTTTATGACTTAAGCGGCTTCAGCCAAAGCACTCTTAAAGTCAAACTGGCTGTTGTATAACTTAACTCAGTTCACAGCTGCATTATGGCAACAATGGACAGTAATAATCCTTACGGTTCGGGTCCATAAAGCTTACAATAGCCAGCTTGACGTATGAGGGTGGTTTGCTTAAGCCGCTTAAGTCATAGAAGTTTTACAAGGTGTATGTCAAATGAGGTTACTTTATTTTCATAACTGACGGCGGTCGCGGTCGTGCGCTTCATAGGTAAAAAGGCAGGGACGTATTATTTCGAAAAGTAACTTGTAAATCACTCAGAGCAGATGCTGGAGATGTGACAAATATCCACAGAAGCCGACCACATTTACGGGATTGTAAAAGCATAACATTTTATTAGGATACAATAAAATGCACCAACTGTATGTACCATCGTGATAATTCAAAAATCCCGCCAAAATGAAACGTGCACAAAATTACAAATATCCAAAAAACCTGCCGCATATTCTACTTACTCTTTACCCGGTCTTCTCGAACTATGAAAACTAACTGCGCCTTTGACGCGGACGCAGGTCACCTCTTGAAGTTTCACTATCAATATCTGTTCTGTGTGTTCCGTTTTCGTTGTGCAAACTTGTGCCCTTTTTATTTTAATTAAGTTCAAATTTTATTTCTCTCGAATTTAAAACGATGACTGAATGATATTAGAATTGCTTACTTACATTAATTACGCCACACTCTATCAAGAATTTCAATCAACAAAGAATTTACAAAAAAAAAACACATGCAATTTCATCACAACCACAATAGGCTGATGTCGGAAACGCTGCGCTCTAGAGCGGCACCGTCGAGAGAATAAATGTTCGAATTCAAGCCGCAAAAATATTACTAAACCTGCAAGGAAATAATTAGACCTGAAAGAATCTACTATTGTAAATCTGTAGTAAAAGATTGAAGCCCTCCCGTTTTTCGAGTCCACGAAGATATTAAGTTGACTGACGGAAATTCCAAGGTCCTTTCTCTTAAAATGGATCAACGTTTAAGTTTAGCTTAAATGCCAACTATTAGCAATCTCGAGTAGTAAGTTAAGAAGTGTGTTATAATATAATACTTAAGCAGAAACATCAAGAAACTCTGATATAACGTGATAACCAAAAGAGTGAAGCCTGAATAAGTGAATTTCCTGACACATGGTTTATATGAACAATTTTATGACTGTTAAATTGTATTTGAGAACCTTACATGTTAATATTTCTAATAAGGAAAAGTTGCAAACTCTAAAACTGTTTGCCTTTTTATCATTTTTATGGTTGAAATTTTATATATATATTTAGTTTTTATCACCAAATAACGCAACACGGTCCACTGTCACAATTATTTTTTAAATCAAACCCCCTTATTAGTTTTTTTAGAAGCTTCTCTAACTATTGTGAGAAAATCACAATTTTTTTTTTAATTACCTACATTATTTAATTAAGTTAATGGACAGTAGATCATAAGGTCTAGCGATCATTTCTAAGGATGAAACTGTAGATCAGTTTTACGGATCAAGCGCTAATCAGAGACCTAACACAGAAAAAAACAACTTTAGTATAGCTGATGGAACCACAGGAGATGGAACCATTCAACCAAGTTATGGGTGATCTGGATGCATTGAATTTTCATTAGCCAGTACCTAAAAGTACATGAATATTCATTGTTTATACAGGAACTGCACACATATTAGATATGATGTCACTGACGAGAATTCCCTCTAGCGTACCTATTAATCATCTACTAGGAGCTATTATTATCTAAATATGTGAATTTAAGGTTGACATGACAATGTACTTTGGAACTTTGGCATGTCATGGTGGTTGTTACTCATCGCACCTTCTTTTTTCATGTTCTGCCAGAAAATTATGTTTGAGTCCCAGTGTTGGGGACAGATTCTTTTAAAAGTATCTAGATACAGATATAGACATATGGAAGATAAAAGTATCTAGATACGGTTTTTTTTCGATTTTTTCGAAATGTATCTAGATACAGATACCTACAAGAAAACAGATACTTTTTGGAGCTTTGGCGAATGAAATAACTGAAAACATGTTTATGTATTTTTTTATGTATTGTTTAATGAATTTTTTAAAATTAACAACATTTCGAACGTATTGTCACCTAAATTATTTCTTCTTGATGTCAGAATTTGGTTTCCGCTACTAAACAGCCGTTGCACAGGTGCAGAAGAAGGGATTGTGGTATTAAGTTTAAAAAATAAACATTTGACTGTAGTATAGTTATTCAAGACTGAAAAATCTTTTCTTTTTTCCTGCAAATAGGCCATCGCTTCGCTGTTTGATGTGTCGCAAATTGTACAATATTTATTACGTAGGCTTAAAAAGAATATTTTTTTGTTTTTATTCCCATACTAAAATGTCCAAATTGTGTTTGAGTATATCTAATAATTATCTCCAGCATTAAAATTAATATTTCAAAAGAATACGGGAAATGATTATTCTGTGCTGAAGGTCTGTTGTCGGCAACCTATCATAAATTATTATTCTTCAATATCGGCTTACGATGTTTTTATGACCATGTCCGGTAATCGTCTATCCCAGTGCGGCAGGTACATACATTTTAGGAAGAATTGCTGGTTCCGTTTAAGGCAAAATAAGTACAATTTCTTAGAAAGGTATTTAAACCCCTTACAGGATCAAAGGCTGCCTGGCAGGCCGGAATCACCAGAGTGCAACTTTAAATTTTCAGATTTTTTATTTTAATCTCGTTTCACGATTTCTGAGAATATATCACGATAAATTATTCTACCGAGGGTTGTAAAAATATTAATTTTATTGCCCAAGATTTACTTGCAACATAATCGGTACATTCTAGGGCAAAACGGACCTGCCAAGCTCGCCTCGCGTTAGGTCCAACATGTGGCAACAGGAAAAGATGCTACATTTGTCTGAAAAATAAAGGTATAAAACAGTAACAAATATGCGATTTATGCTAGAGAAATGTATGTATTGAACATTCGATTAGTCGATTTTACAGAACTAATTTGTGCTAACTGAAAAAATTAATCATTATGTAATACGCAATTATTATTTTCTAAAAATAATAACATACCTTAAACAAATATTTTTACTATTAAAATTACTCTTTTTTAATAACACAAATACAACCAGCGGGCCTACCGGACCCGGGTTGCTCAGGTACACAGATAAAATGCATTGCCCCGATAAGCGTAAAACGCAGTGAATAGTGAATTGTGGTTTATGGTTTTTAAAATACCATCTTACCATGGCTTAGATTTATTACCTCTCAGGATTATATTTAAAGATGTATTAAGTACTAAAGGTTGCAATGTAGGAAATGATGGTATTTAAAATATGAAAATTTCCGTGACAGAACACTATTAGTGGACCTCTTACCTCTATTTTTGTTTATGTGACCAAAATCACCAACCTGAAGTATCAAAAATTATTACTAGTATAACTCAACTAATAACTACTGAAAAAAAAGTGAAATAAAAAAATGTATCTGTATCTCCGCCATTAATTTTATATCTAGATACAGATATTTTGTGCTTAAATTAGATTTTGTCTAGATACAGATACTAAATACCCAAAAATGTATCTAGATACTTTATTTAGATACAAGTATCTAGATACTGCCCAACACTGCTGAACACTTAAGGATATAGTGACGAACCCTACAGTACTTGATATACAAATATTCTTATCTTATGATTAAAATAATAAGCGCAACAAAAAACTATATTATTATTCATGGAAACAATGCTTGTCCTTATCTCTATAGAGCTCCATTATTTTTGAATAAACACTCCAACTAAAATTGCTAAAATCTTGGAATATTTTGTAAAATTCTCGACTGGCATCAAGTTTGTTGTGGTTACGATTCTTATTAGCTTGTTACCGGTTTTTACAACTGATTCTATTATTCCATTCGTCTAAGTCTTAGGAATTTGCTGATTAAATACTAGAACCAAGCTTCACCGGTGGTTGTTAGTGACAGTAGAAAAGAAGAACTGTCCTGCACGTCCATTGTTAAAATTGTTTCCTGCTGGCATTTTCCCTATCTATCTATTCAGAGATGTAGTTATATTTGGCAGGAATAATGACACCAACGATGTTACGTTTGATTGTATCCTATAGCTGGCATTTGCTGTAGAGAGAGCTCTCTTAACACACTTTGTAACTTTGTTCAGACATTTACTCGCTATATGTTCAACAAGAGAATTGAGTTTTACAGTCCCCATGTCTTCAGTTCCAACCAGCGTTTGTGTTGTGCTCCGCGATCACCAATCAACGCTTGTTTTAATTTTGTATGTGGTTCAGCGTGTCTGGCTTGGAAATGACGTCAAATACCTTCACCGTAAAATCTTGAGACAGGGACACGTGTAGAGGAGCTGGCTGGCGTCAGAACGCTACATTGTGGGTTGCCAAACCGAAAAACCTTGCTTCTGGTCCGCCTTGAGTGTTTATGATTTTGTGGCACTCCGCAGAGCTCTGTATGTCAGGGCCCCTCCCCATAGGGTATTTGTGACCTTGTTCTCAGGGCCCCCACGTCCGTGGTTCTATGGGTTCCCCTCTGCCACATACGCACACATAAAAAATCATCCTGAGGCAGCTTAGATAAAACACACGTGCATATGACGACGACACCCCAGATATTCAGTTCTTCATTTTTATAGCTGCTGTGGATATTGAACAACGATCTACACGATTTTCAGTTGCGACGCCACAGGTATCGTAAGCAAAATGAATCGTACGACTATTGTATAAAATTTACACTCACTG